CTTCACTTAGAGCAAAGTTTTCAGGGTTCAGTCCTGTTGTAGCATGACACGTTAGCACTTCATTCCTTCTCAGTGCAGATATTATATGGCTTGGATATACCGTTAATCACTTGATGGACATTTGAGCTGTTCCCACCTTTGAGCTTTCTGAATAACGCTGCTGAGCATTTACCTGTAAGTTTTCATGTGCGTATGTTTCAGTTCGCTTGGGCAGAATTCTAGGAAAGGAGTTGCTCGGTCACATGGTAACTGCTTCATCTTCTGAGGAGCTACCAGACCATTTCCCAAAGCAGCTGCACCATTTTGTATCTTCACCAGCAGGGGGCGAGAGCTACGATTTCTTCCACAGCACTGCCATTATCCACCCTTTTCTTCAGAACCATCCTAGTGGATGCGAAGTGGCTCCTCATAATGGCTTTGGTTGTTCTTGTTATGGCCTCACTGTGTGGCCCAGGCCAACCCTGAACACATTGTGTAGTCCAGGCTGGCCTTGAACTTCAGTCCTGCTGCCTCAGTCTCCTGAGTGCTGGGGTTACAGACCTGTGCCATCACACCCAGCTTTGATTTGTGTTTCTTTGATTTGTGAGCATGTTTTCATGTGCACACTGGCCATGTGTACCTCTTCTTTGGAAAAATACCTATTTGGGTCCTTGGCCAACTTACATGTTGTTTATAATCACTCACTTGTGTTTATCATCACTCACTTGTAAGAGTTCTTTCTAGTCTCTGCATATGAATTTCTCATCGGATATATAATTTACAAATATTTTTTCTCCTTGTGTGGGTTCTTTTCACTTTCTCGATGGTGTTATTCCATGCACAAAAGTTTGTAATCTTGATGTGTCTACTTTATTTTGTTGCTGCTACTCACTCTTTTGGTGTCATACAAAAAATTATTTCCTAATCTAAGGTCATGAAGACTTATAGGTAGGTTTTCTTCCAAGTGTTTTCTAGTCTAGATCTTATACTCAGGCCTTTGATCCACTTTGACTTAGTTGTATCATATGATCTGAGGTAGGGTTTCAACATCAGTGTTTTGCATGTGGCCATTTACTTATTCAAGCGCCATTTGTTGAAAAGACTGTTCTGTTCTCTCATTATTGAGTGGTCTTGTACCCTTATACAAATCCAGTTTACTATAAATGTGTGGGCTTATGTCTGAACTATCAACTGTGTTCTGTTAATCTACGTGTCTGTTTTCACATCAGTACCACACTGTCAGATCATTTTGCTTTGTAATAAGTTTTCAAGTGAGAAAGTTTCTTTATCCTTTTCTAAAAACTTTATTCAAGGTTATTTTGGCTACTCAAAGTCTTTTCATTTCCCTATGAACTTTATGCTTAGCATATCATTTTCTACAAGGAAATCAGCAGTGGTTTTGGTAGGGTTTGCATTGTAGCTCAGTTTGTCACACATAATCATGAACAGAGGAGAGCTACCCTTTTGTTTAGGTCCTCTTTAATTCCTTTCAGTGATGCTTTATGGTTTTTAGAGTACACATTTTGCACTTCGTTAAGCTTACTCCTAAATATTTCAGAGTTTTTTTACTGTGTTATAAGTACACTAGTTTTACTAATTTCATTTTCAGTGTTTCATTTCAGTGCACAGAAATACAGTAGATGTTTATACATTGATCTTGTATCCTGCAGCTTTACTGCACTGATTTATTAGTTTAAATAGTTTTAGTGAATTCCCTAAGAATTTGTACATACACAATTATGTTGTCTAGAGATAAAAATAATTAATTTGAAGGGCTTTAATTTCATTGTCCTCCCTACTCTTCCTGGCTAGAGTTCATGGCACAGGTTAGATAAAAATAGCAGAAGCAGGCATTCTTGTTTCTGATCTTAGAAGGGAAGCATTCACTATTTCACCCTTAAGTCTAATGTTATCGGGCTGTTTCAGAGATTTCCAAGTTTCCTTTCATTCCTAGATTTTTTACTGTGTTTTTATCATGAAGGGATATTAAATTGTATCAAATGCTTTTTCTGCATGTTTAGAAATTACTGTGTGATTTTTAATCCTGTATTCTATTAATAGTGTATTCTGTTTACTGGTTTTGAATGCCACATCAGCATTGCCTTGCTAGGGTAAATCATTTGTCTGGTCCTTTTTACAGGTTGCTGGGTTCAGTTTGCTAGCATTTAGTTGAGTATCTCCGCAGTGTTCAGTGTTATTCTCCAACTGGCGGCTCCCCTTACCGAGCATTTTTTTCTCAGTTGATCTTTTCTCAGGGAGCTCTCTTCTGTTCAGACATGGATAGGCATTGCCAGTTGCTTCACTTTAGGCAGAGAAGAATAAATTATTTAATTCTGAGCTTCTTTGTACATATTGATACTATGTGCACTGTTACAATAACCACACTGAACATCCAAAAGCCAAGTGAGTAGAATAAAGACTTTGTGAAATTCCTCAAGAAATCAAAAATAGAGTTACTGAATGATCTAACAATCCCACTTCTGCATGCAAATCCAAAGGAAACAAAATCAATTTGTTGAAGAGATGTCAGCACTTTTGTGTTCATTGCAGCAGCACTACTTATAGCCAAAATGTGGAAATTACCTCAGAGTTTGGCAGTAGATGAATGCCTAAAGAAAAAGTGGTGCATATACACAGGAAATGCTATTCATTTGTTTAAAGAACAAACGAAGTGTTTTCATTTGTGAAACACAGGTGAACTAGAAGACATTGTGCTAAGTCAGATAAGCCAGACACAGGAAGATAAATACTGCATCGTCTCACTTACATGTGGAATCTTAAAATGGAATTAGAGAGAATGGTAGTTACCAGAGGTTTGGCTTTGTGGGGTAGTACCAGGGTAGAGGTGAATGGGAAAGGAGAGATGATCAAAATTTCAGGTGGAGGTGGGGGGAATAAATTCTAATAATCTACTGCACAATGTTGTGACTATGTTAATAATAATATTTCAAAGTTACTAAATGTTGATTATAAATGCTTTTACCACAAAGAAAGGTATGTGGGTCAGGTTTTTGTTGCTGTGACAAACACCTGAGATAAATCAATTTATGAGGAAGAAAGGTTTGTTTAGGCTCATGGTATAAGAGGTTCCAGTCCATGGTTATTGGTCCCATTCTTTTAAGCCTGTGGTGAGGAATATGTCATGGTGGACAGCAAGTGGTATAACCCAGCTACTCACTGCATGGTGTCCAGGAAGTGAAAAAGAGAGTGTCCCAGTGTCTCTCTCAAGTTCAGGCCCCCAGTGACCTGACCCCACCTCCAGAGATTCTACCACCCTGCTCTACCACCACAGGTACAGGCCTCACCTTCAATACACTGGCCTTCGGAGGACATTTAATGAGATAAGCACGAGGAGTGAATCTATTAGCCTGATTAGTTAACCTGATTACAGGGTATACATGGAACATTACCTTGCACCAAAAATATGTATGCAGTTACTGTGTCTCAGTTTTTTAAAGAAGGTGGAATTAAGCTGGGCACACTGGTGCACACTTACAGTCCCCGCTACTTGGGAGGCTGAATCAGTAGGACTTACCTGTTGAGATGGAGTTTGTGTACGGTAAAACTCATCCTTTTTAATACTTTGAAAAAGAAATTTATGGGAATTGATAGCTTATAAACAGCATGGATTCCTTTTCCTATAGAAATTTTAAAGTAAAGTCTGTTTTCTGTGTTCTTTCACAAAAGAAGTTACCAGTCCACATTACATGTAAAGATGTTTATTTGAAAGCAAACACTCCATAAAATTAATAATTTTATAAGATCACAGCATTAATAATTAACATATATGTATACTTACACAAAACAGCTTGCAGATGTTAAGATCAATTTTTTTAGCAAACAACCATTCCTACCATAAAAAAATAAAATCCCTGGTTCAGACAGAAGGTGAAGGTTGTAGGAAGAAAAATAAAGTATCTGTTCTTAGTCGCCGTAGAAGATTATAATTAACTCAGTAAATCTCCCTTGGATAAGGAGGTCTTCACAGAGGAAGATTAAGTAGTGATACTTAAATGACTTAAAAAGTCATTTTAAGCTTTAAAGTGCTCACATTTATTAATTCAGCACAGTGAATATTAATAGTTTAAGACCCATGCTTTGAAATCCAAATACATTTTAAGGTACTCTGAGCTGTAGTAGCTGAGGGAGGATGTAACACTGGCGTTTTATAAAACTGTCCATAATGCAGTAAATTTTTTTGGTCAGATCAACCTTAACTGCTTGGGTGGAGTGCGCACGCGCGCGCGCGCGTGTGTGTGTGTGTGTGTGTGTGTGTGTGTGTGTGTGTGTGTAAATTGGGATACTGCTCCTCATCGAGTTGACTTCATAGACATATACTGAGTATGGAAAGGAGTCTTGTATGTGGGCTGTACATGCATAAAAGAAACGATGTTCTGTATTTTCAGAAGAAACTGGTAGATTTATCCTTTCAGCCTTAGAAAATGTTTATGTTAAATATGAACAGGCAAAATACAGATTAAAAATCATTCCAAAGCCATTACCTCACTTATCATAGCACTTTTACCTCTAAAACAAGCTCAGCACACATTTAGTATATTTTGTTTTGATCAATTTTTATTCTATCCAAAGGCCTTTCCTGTTGGAGGTCTTTTTTGGAAACAGTTTTATCTATAATCATGTACACTAATTAAACAATGCTTAGACTTTCCAGAGGAAATGCATTTAATTTTCAAGGGAAAAAGAAAGAAAATTCTGAAATCCTTTTTCACTGAGCTTGTGTATAATACCAGTAATAGAATTTTTAAGAGGTATTCCATTTCCTTCATGAAAAATGAAAACGGCTTGGCTTTCATCAATGCCATCTTCTGAATTGTGTACGTTTAGAGTGACTTACCAGAGAGAACTGCTGAGAAGGAAACACATCCTAATTTAACGTGAAACAATGGGAGCGTTGGCCCTGTTGCAGGTACTGAAGTGTCTGCGCACCCGGCTGGGAATGGGTTAGGCTCAGGGTTGGCGTCACCATGAAGCCATTCAGAGGCTGTCTCTTGCCCTTGCAGGTGGAGCGGGAGAAGGCCATCCTTCTGGCCAGTCTGCAGGAGTCCCAGACGCAGCTGGAGCACACCAAAGGGGCGCTGACGGAGCAGCACGAACGGGTGCACCGGCTCACGGAGCACGTCAACGCCATGAGGGGCCTGCAGAGCAGCAAAGAGCTCCGGGCCGAGCTGGACGGCGAGAAGGGCCGGGACTCGGGGGAGGAGGCTCACGACTACGAGGTGGACATCAACGGCCTGGAGATCCTGGAGTGCAAGTACAGGGTGGCCGTCACGGAGGTGATTGACTTGAAAGCAGAAATTAAAGCCTTAAAGGAGAAATACAATAAATCTGTAGAAAACTATACCGAAGAGAAGGCCAAGTATGAGAGTAAGATCCAGATGTATGACGAGCAGGTGACGAGCCTTGAGAAGAGCACCAAGGAAAGCGGCGAGAAGATGGCCCACATGGAGAAGGAGCTACAGAAGATGACCAGCATCGCCAACGAGAATCACAATACCCTTAACACAGCCCAGGACGAGCTGGTGACCTTCAGTGAGGAGCTCGCTCAGCTCTACCACCACGTGTGTCTGTGCAATAACGAAACGCCCAACAGGGTCATGCTGGACTACTACAGGCAGAGCAGAGTCACCCGCAGTGGCAGCCTGAAGGGGCCCGATGACCCCAGGGGGCTGTTGTCGCCGCGACTAGCCAGGCGGGGTGTGTCGTCTCCAGTGGAAACAAGGACCTCATCCGAACCAGTTTCGAAAGAAAACACAGAGGCCAGCAAAGAACCAAGTCCAACGAAGACGCCCACAATCTCTCCTGTTATTACTGCCCCGCCATCTTCTCCAGTGTTGGATACAAGTGATATCCGCAAAGAGCCAATGAATATCTACAACCTTAATGCCATAATCCGGGACCAAATCAAACATCTGCAGAAAGCGGTGGACCGGTCCGTGCAGCTCTCTCGGCAGAGAGCGGCGGCCCGGGAGTTGGCCCCCATGATCGACAAAGACAAGGAGGCCTTAATGGAGGAGATCCTGAAGCTCAAGTCGCTACTGAGCACCAAGCGGGAACAGATCGCTACGCTGAGGGCGGTGCTGAAAGCCAACAAGCAGGTAATCTCCCCCCGGGGGCAGCTGGGCAAAGCCCGCCCCATCAGCTTATTCCGGTTTGGGTGAGCTCTCAGCAGTACCAAGATAAGAATTGGGGATTCCTGGTCAGTGGACAAATAAAACCAGCTACATCCCAGTGCCAGAACAGAATGTAACGGTATTTTTAGATAGGTGAGTGGATGGATGCAACAGGAGAGCAGGCGTGCCCAGGTGGGAGGCTGAAGAGAGCAGACCAGAGGAGCGGAGCCAGCTGCCGCTGCTGGGCTGCCAGTCCGGCAATGCCAGGCAGAAATGAGTGTGGAAACAGCAGGGGAGCCAGGCCAAGACGCTGGCATGGCCGTGGGCCGGGTCCACCACCAGGAGAGTCACAGGCTGGCAGGAAGTCTGGCTGCAGACGAGAGGAGGAATATAGGGAACCCTTCCTGGTCCTTGTCGCGGGCCAGGAAGTTTGCATTTGTAATCCCAGGGAGAAGTTATTGGAATTCTAGCGAGTTAATTGCAGTCTACCACTTCCAGTGCAGCCCATGGCGAGAATAAAGACACTAAGGCATATGTGTAGTTGTGGGGAGCCAAGGGGTCCTAAGTCCAGCCAGGATAATGGCCATCTGGAACAAAGGCCTCAATCCAGGGCCCAGCTTAGGTTTTATTCATTCATGAAGAAAGGAGTGGCTTGAGGATGAGTGAGTGTGAGAATGGCGGGAAGTAGGTGAGCGCTGTGAGCTGGGCTAGGTGGGAGGCCTGAAATCACTTCTGCAATGTGTAGAGAGAAGGATCTGCAGAGTCATCTGCATAACACAATTCAAGGTAGTATCTGATGTTTTGGGGTCAGTCCTTCAGCTCTGGTGTATAATCTTTTATGCCCTGGGAGGTCATAGTGTCTTATCTTGAAGCTCAATCACAACCAGCATGGAGCACGGCTCCCCATCCCGCCTGGCCCACCCATGTTCTCTGGGAGCTGTGGGGGCGGGGCAACATTACCCTGTCACCGTGCTTCAAAGGCTACACATCAGTACCTCGTCTGGACTGATTTGCATGCTTAATGCCAATTGAAGGGATAAGAAGTCCTGGCCAGCTCTGTACACATCAGTACATGGAAATAGGGCCAGGTCTAGCCAGAATGGAGACAATTGCTCCTCCTCGCAGAGGAGATCTGCGGCCAATGAGCAGACCCCAACGTGAGAGATGGGGTTCAGATGCAAGACGATTTCTAGGAGTTAACAAGATAGGAAACGGGTGTCTTGGCCTTCGTCCCAGACTGGGGGAAGCAAGAGCACTAGGTAAGCAATGGCGGGGAAGAAGAAAAGAAGTTGTGGGGAAGGGAGTGAGAGAAGCAAAGCCGCGCAGGTGTCCCCAGCGTCTGAAATAATTCGGAGCAGCAGGACAGAGAGGAAGGTAAGGAAAGAGGCAATGAGTGGACCCTCCTCGGCCCATCAGTGACCTGAATTTTAGGTTCAGTTGGGTGTAAGTCCAGAGCTTAAGCGGCCAGGAGTTTTTCTGCCTTTTCTTAACCCGTAGAGATCTGTCCTTGTATTCCTGTGTCTCCTTGACAACTGAGTTTGTTTTTACCCTTGAGCTGTACATGGTGGAAGCACTATGAAGTACAGACCTGACAGTCCTAGTCAGTTTATCTGAAAAGGTAGCCTCCGGTGACACATATTTGAGAAGTGTGCTGAGCAAATCCTGGTGTTGATAAAGACAAGCAACAAGTATCAGAGACCTTCTTGCCATTGCAAACATCGATCAGTAGCTTGGGCATGCTTTCTCCTTTGAGACAGGGTCTCCATAATGTAGCCCAAGCTGACCTCAAGCTTATGATCCTCCTGCCTCAGCCTCCTGAGTGGAGCGTGTACCCTCTGAAGAGTGAGGCTAATTCTGTGTTGAGTGCCTTCTCCTCTGTCCTGATCTTGGAGGGGACCACACTAATATTATGTCACCTACCTTCCTGGTCTTCATCTTCTGTTCCCATAGACCCATTGAGGTCAGCTGGATGTCTGTACTGTAAGCAATACTACGGTGTACACTGTGACGATGCTTTTGAGATTCAAGAGCAGAATAGGACTGTCGTGCTATTGCTTTAGGAAAATAGAAAAAAAAATGGGAGAGTGAAGAATTGAGAAGGTATTGGAATCCAATTTGATGTCAGAATGCAGCAACTTTTTACAGTAACTCTGCTAAAATCCGACCAACTCAGCAAGTTAGAGTACATAACCAAAATAACCAAATAACCAAATCAGCTGGGCATGGTGGCACATGCCTCTAATCCCAGCACGCTGGGAAGCTGAGGCAGGAGGATCATGCGTTCGAATCCAGCTGGGCAATTTAACAAGACCCTGTCTCAAAATTTTAAAAAGGGCTGGGGATTTAGCTCCATGTGAAGGACCAGGGTTCTATCGCCAGTACTGCAGAAATAAATAACCCAAAATCATATTACATGAAGGAACTTAACCTTTATCCAGAGCAGGGGACATTCTTGGTCAAGTCATTCAGCTAACTTCTCTGACTTCTACCTGGAGATTGGATAGTAGCCCAAAACACTTGATCTAGGAAAATGTCAGAATGCTTACCTGAAGAGGTAAAGGATGGTTTATCAGCCTGGAGAGACTAATTGAAGCAGTACCCATTGATGACAGTTTATGGAGAGAGAAGGTAGGGGTCAAACCAAGTGACTAGCACTCTAGTGCAGTTTCAGCCTGGCCTGTAGCTGCCCACAGGACAGAACATACGAAGCACTTGGGAGTGGGATAAACAGCGCCGTAGGGATTCGGTGGAACACAGCTGCCTAGCTCCACTGTCAGAGTGCTTTCCGGTGGTATTTGCATTACATTAGAGCCACAGCCTGCATGGGCTCAGTAAATTAAATCCAAACACGCCCGAAGCCACACATTTGTTAGGCAGTTTAGCGGTGTCGGTGGCCCGGGCTGTTGCTGGCATGCTTATTGCCTTAAATAGCTTCAAGTTGTGGAATGGTAATTAGTAAGACTGAGGGGCGGATTCTGTGGCTTAGGGAAACAATGGGAACCTTCTTGCTGTACAGCAGGCATTGTGTGTGCCGTGTGAATCATCAGTACCCTTTAGCACCGGTGTTTCAGAGGCACCCTGCCTCCGGGCAGTGAGCAGGTAGGAGGCCCAGTCCGCGGACGAGGCTGTAGTCGGTGTGAGGTTCTGAGAAGGCTGATGCACAGCCCTCGCCTTCCCAAAGAGGACTCCGCCCGGGGTGGCAGAGCAGAGGCAGCAGCAACAGTTTGGTGTGACTTGTGCTGTGACCCTCCCTCACTGTGGGGACCGTACAGAGGAAACAGTTAGTGTTTCTTACGGGAGCTTTAGAAAAGACTTCACAGAAACAATCATACTTGAGTTTGTTTTGGTTTTGCTTTTTTAATACCAGTGTCCAACTCAGGGGTGCTGTATCCCTGAGCTATATCCCTAGCCCATTTTTAGTTTTTGAGACAGGGTCTTGCTAAGTTGCCCAGGTTGGAGTAGAACTTGTGATCTTCCTGCCTCAGCCTCCCTGGAGTTACAGTCATGGTACCCAGCTTTGAATTTATTCTTACAGGATTGGTTTTCCAGGGGAAAGGGACTAATTTCAGACAGAAGAGTACGTACGGAAAGACAAGAGTAACAGAAATAGGGGAATGCTTGAGAAGGTCTCTGGCTAGAAATAAGGCTTTTTTATTTAGAAAATCAACATTGCAGTGCGTAGAAAATGTAGTGAATGCAGATGTCAGCACATTTACTGACGGGTTTTAGATACTTAAAAGTACTTAATTCTGAAAAAGCTTTGTGCAGCCTGCGGACAAACAAATCTACAAGCAAAAGTGAGTCCTCCTCAGCCTTGTTCACAAGCGGGGAGTTGTGCTTCTGCCCGACCTCACTGTGGTCGGCTTCCTGCTCTCCCCTAGATACCAGGTGTGTGCTCACCAGCGTGTACAGCTTCAGGCTCTCGGCTTAAACCGAGCCATATGTTCTAAATGAATGTAAGTCTGACCTTAAAAAAAAATAAACAATTGCTATCCCCCACATCGATTTCTACATTTTGGATAATTTTCTGAGTATAGCATTTGTGAAGATGCCACTAAGTATTAGTGTTACAGAACATATGAAAGTATTTTTCGGGTAACTTCTCATTTAAATCTGCTTTTAAGTTCATTTAGAACTAATAGGAAACAACTCTGGAGTTAAAATATTAACAACTACTCCATGTTAACATTGGTTTGAGGGGCTGGGGATTTAGCTCAGCGGCACAGTGCCTGCCTGGCAAGTGTGAGGTCATGAGTTCGATTCCTGGTACTGGAAAAAGGGGAAAAAAACCCCAAAACTTGACTTCTTCAGTGCTCCATAGAGAACCTGATAGGATTGAGGAGAATGTGAAAATAAATAAATATTGGTCCTCCCGCCATTTACAGGGAAGTCAAATCTATTAAACAAACAAACAAACAAACAAAAAAACACGGTTTGATAAAAGAACCGGTCTCTATACTGTAAGTTGGCAGTTCGCCTAGGAAAGCTGAGCCTATCCATCTCAACCTCAAAAAGATGTTTTACCACCCCAGGGTAGTTCTCTGGGAAATCCCGTTAGTAGTGGGGTTTTTCGCCAGTATTCAAACAGATAATTTTGTATAAACCCAATTTCTTTGTCTCCCAAAATTGAAGAATAAATTTGGAGACAAAAGGAGGTGTTTAGGAGTGGTTTTTAGAAAACCACGTAAGAGGGGAAAGAAGTCTGATGCCCTGTGTAGACAGGTATAGTGAGAGGGCTTGCTTGTCTCAGAAGAGATGAGTTTTTAAAAGTTTTAAAAAAAGAAACTACTACATTTTTAAATGTCTTTTTGAAGTCGGATCTGAATTCTGGTCCTGAGGTAGGAGAGAGCTGTCAGCTAACTTAGCACACCCTCTTCCAGGAGGAAAGTCCTTATCTCTCTGGTTGGAGCTTTTATCTTGGTGTTTACCTTTATCCCTCTAAGCTGGGCTTGGCCGTTAAGTGCTCTTCACCTCAGGGGGCTGTTTTCTTTTTCTGACCCTATCATGAGGCTCTTCTAACTGCTAAGCATAATGACTAAGCTAAGCTAAATGAACTGAGCTAAACCACTGCGGTGCCGTATTGGGTATTTTTATACAGTCTGAAGAGCTGTAACTTAGTTTTGTAAAAAGAATTCAGTATGGACACCGCACGCTGTGCACCCCCCAGGCAGCCCGAGTTGTCGCCATTGAGCCGGTCAGTGTGCTCTGACTTCCGGCTCTCCCATGCTAGCTCTGGGTCTGAAACACTGTTAATCCAGGAACTTCAGAAATGCCCCAATGCAAATACAAACAAACATTTGAACTCATTCTGCATTTGGGTGCTTTTGGTTTTTAAAGATATTATGAAGAATTAAATTTGACTATAATTCATTGTTTTGAACAAGTTGTATGAAAATGATACAGGAAAATAAAAATTCCCAACCTGCACGATATCTGGGACGAGTTCATGTTCTCTAAAATCGAAGAATGAATTTTAGGAACAATGGGGGTTAAGAGCAGAATATATTTATTGAGGGAAAGAAAGCTTCTGCCCAAGAGAGGACAGAAAGGGGCCCGAGTGGGTTGCCCAAGACTCTGTCTTTTCTGGGGACTCATAGGGCAAAACCACGAGGTGAGACGGGTCCAAGATAGGGGGAAAAATGGAAATTATGAGGTGGGAAAAAACTATGGTCAGCCAATAAGATTACAAGTATAATTGTTGAGGTAAAATTGAGTAAACTGGGATCAAATGGGGGAAACAAGTCATGTAGCAAGCAGGCATGAATACAGAACAGGGGCTTTTCCTGTAGGGGGTTGGGCTAGTGACTCTTTCTGGCTTTTTTTTTTTTTTTTTTTTTCTTTTTTCCGGTACCAGGAATTGAACTTATGACCTTGCACTTGCCAGGCAGGCGCTGTGCCGCTGAGCTAAATCCCCAGCCCCTTCTTTCTGGCTTTTTGAAGGTGGTTGCTACCTATTTAGAATATCAATCCCTGATTTCACACCTAGGGAGGTATGTGGGTGCAATTGTTTAGTCCTTTGTCTTGAGGTCTGGCCCACAGGTATCTTATCTTGTCTTTCATGTTGGCTCCTTCCAGGGCCTGGCCCTGTCTGACTGCCTATAATATTTCTGTCTAACTCAGCTATCTATAACAAAAAGACTTAAAAAATGTTTGGTTGTTGGTCATGTCTTTTCCTTAAACGTATAATAACCTGGGTTTATAGTTTACCATCTTATACTCATGTTATAAATTACAAAATTAAATTTGTCTTTCAGTCCACGCCTTAGGCTCAGAGTACAGAGGACATAAAATACTTGAGTTCAAACATTTCTCACTTGGAAATTGTGCTTCTTTTAAAACATAATGCGGTCCTTCTTGGATAAAGTTTCTCATTGGCTCCCTCTGTGACAGTCCTACACCTTCAGCAGCCTGGGAGGTGTTTACTGAGCTGTTGTCATTCCTTTGGCTGGCTTCTAGCACAATGAAACCACATTACCCACAACACATTTTGATGTTACACAAAATTCCCTGTGTCCAGGGTCTAAATTACGCTGATGTAAACCCTCACCAAATCAGTTCTACTTTCCACTTACGGAAGGAAATGCAGCTAGTCCCAGCGTGAAGACATCTGGGTGGCAGATTGTCCTGCTGTGAAGTGGTAAGCTTTGTCATCTTTCTGCTTCAGACAGCAGAGGTGGCCCTCGCCAACCTGAAGAACAAATACGAGAATGAGAAGGCAATGGTGACTGAGACAATGACAAAGCTTCGCAACGAGCTGAAGGCTTTGAAGGAAGACGCGGCCACCTTCTCCTCCCTGAGAGCAATGTTCGCAACCAGGTGAGCGGGTTTTCTCCCGAAGGGGTGTGTGTTGCTGCGCAGAAGGGGGTGCCGACGTTCGCAAGTGCATCGTGGAGCAGCCTGGGTGTGTTTGTTGTGTGCTCCCGATAGGAAAGCGTGAAGAGAATGATTCCATTCTGACAAATCTAAACCAGAACCTTCCCATTTGTATCCAGAGCCCTGCCCTGGATACTCTGGACCAAGCAGTTCTATTACAGAAAAACAGTTCTAGCGGCTCGGCAGCCTTAGTCAGAGGAGCGCTTAAACCCAGGAGTTCAAGAGCAACCTGAGCAACACAGCAAGACCCAGGCTTTAGAAAGCTAAAATAAAATTTAAAAATGAACCAGTTACTATAATAACTTTCTGATGGTGCTGGGGATTGAATCCAGGGCTTCACATAGGACGGCAAATATTCTACCACTGAGCTACATTCTTAGTCCAAGAATTAGATTTTTAAAAAAAGACTTCCAAAAGAGAAAACCACTTTCTAAAGTAGGCAAGTATTTTATCACCCGGAAATATATTTCTGTGACTAAAATATATAAAAGTGCTCAGCATGAGTATTCTGTTAGAAGATTCTATTAATTTCTGAAAGGTAATTCTGTGTATCGCCGAGTTTTTCACATTACCCAGCTAGTGAAAACAAATACTAGTTTCTCTCTACCCCGTGAGTTTCATTTCCTGGCAGCAGTATATTTTCTTTTAAAACTTGAAATAGTTGTTGAGATAGATGTTAGATTTTCAGTATATTGTTGAAATTTCTTTTGTCACAATGCAGAGCCAAAAATAATTTGAAAAGCCACCAGTTACATATCTTGTATGGCAGAAATTTGGTACAGAATTCACAGAGCATAACTTCGGCTTTATCTGCAGATGTAGGTACTAATTTATACTCTGAATGTCAAGCAGTGTAAATTGCATGGGGTTTGAGCTGGTGGAGCCGGCCTGTCGGGAGCATCTCCAGGCTGGCTGCACAGTTGTGCTGAGCCATGAAGATCAGCGCCTCACCCTGTTTTCTACAACAGTTTAGCTGAGGTAAATGTAAAGAAGATCCTGGGCTTTCTGAGAATCCCCCGGGATCTGTCTAGCTTTTCACTAGGAGAGAAAAAGCTGGAGGTCCTGTGCGGTGGAACCTCCTGGATGTGACAGAGAGAAGGTGGGCCCCTGTGACCTGGGGCACAAGAACTCAAGGGACTGGCTTCTGGGCACCGAGTGTGGGGCATTTGGAGATTAGAATCTGGGTGCCCCAGAGGACGGGACAGAGAATAGAAATGGGCACAGTGTCCCCTTCGATGAAGGAAATCAGGATTTTGGTTACAATCAAGAGAACGTAAATTTCCTCTTTGAGAAAGAAAATTAAAAAAAAAAAAATTAAAGGAGCATTTAAAGTCTCAATATACGAAAAATGTCTTATATGTCGATAATCCCCAAATAGTTCATTTTCACAGACATTTGCTTTTTCAGGTACAATAACTACCCTACTCTGTAGCACTAAAAATAGTTATCTGGCTGGTGACTATTATTAGTCTAGGGCTCTGAAAATCACTCTATTTAATGAAGCTCTGGTATTTATATATCCCCACTGCACTCCTTGGCATTCAGAGTTAAGAAAATGGCCTCCCCCGGATTTATTTCTTTCAGAGCACAGATTTCCCTTTCAGACACCCCAGGCTCATTCTGCTACATCCAGCACATTTGAGATCACCCCGGGAGACCATCAGCTATCAGCTGGTGTGAGCGGAGTGACTGTCATTAATATGAGAGTGGGTAAATAAAATCAGTGGAAACTCAGAAAGAGCCTGTCTCCCACACTGCTTCTTCCTTCCAAATGCATGTGGATTTTCCTTCCGGGGAAATAGATCAACGAGCTGATCTTCATGCCTCAGCGCAAGTGTGGAGCCAGCCTGGAGATGCTCCCGACAGGCCGGCTCCACCCAGCTCAAACCCCATGCAAATCTCAGATTCTTTGACAACTCGCCACTTTATCGCCTGGGTACAAAATCATTTATTTTCTAACTCACGCAAACCTGCCACATTGAAAACAGTGCAGCTATAGTCTGTGCTAAGCTAAAATAAAACCTAGAAGTATAGATACAGAAGCAAATGTTTTCATTAATAGCCTATAACAAGCATCACATTCCTGCAAAGAATTCACTATTATACAGTGGAAAGAACCATCGTAACACACCTGAGTACAGCAGTGTCCTAAATGTCTAAATTCCAGTCAAATTCATAGTAGAAGCTCCTCCCTTACCCGAGGGGGACACGCCACAAGACCCCAGTAGACTCCCAAAGCTGTGGCTAGTACCAGACTACACAAACACACCTATGATAAATTTTTAAGTTATTATAATTGTGAACAGCAAGAGATGAACAATAATTAATAATAAAATGGAACAATTATAATACTCTGTAGTAAAAGTTGTATAAATGTGGTCTGTCTCTTGAAAGAATCCAGGCAAATATCCGTTGGCCTCGGATAACTGCAGCCGAGGAGAAAGGAGGAGAACTGTACTGTCTGACTTGCTGCAGTTCCATTTCACCAGATTCCTCCTGACCCCTGTTGTGCTTGGGTTTCAGATGTGATGAATACGTCACACAGCTGGACGAAATGCAAAGACAGTTAGCAGCCGCAGAGGATGAAAAGAAGACCTTAAACACTTTATTACGAATGGCTATCCAGCAAAAACTCGCCCTAACCCAGCGGCTGGAGGACTTAGAGTTTGACCACGAGCAGTCCCGACGCAGCAAAGGCAAACTTGGAAAGAGCAAGATCGGCAGCCCTAAAGTAAGTGGGGAGGCGTCAGCCACCGCGCCCACCATAGACACTTACCTCCTGCATAGTCAGGGCCCACAGACACCCACCATGCGGGGCAGCAGTGGCTCTCAGAGGAAAAGGTATGCATGCCGCGATCTTCACAGCATGGTGCAGTGGCCGGATTTCCGCTAACTGCAGAGTGAATGTGCTCTCGTGGGGGGTGCAGGAGGGGACGGGGAAGCCCGGATGGGAGCTGGTATCGATGGGCCTTGCAATGGTCTCTCCAGATCAGAGCCTTGTGATAATTGCGTTTATATATTCCTTTCTGCACCCCATCCACACCTCTCGGTTAATTCTAATTTAATTTTCAAGTGTCTGTTAATGTTTTTGCTGCTGTTTGTATGCATATATATATATATATATATATATATATATATATATATATATATACTTCTCCCTTACCTCCAGCCTAAAAAATGGTAGACAAAGTGGATGTTAAGAATGAAGCCGTGTTCTACACGAGCTATAATTTTAAAAGTCGCTGTACCTCTGGAAAATGGTTGTTTAGCAGCTTCTCTTTAATGGAGGCAAGGATATGAATATGTTCCCTTGGGAACTTCTGCCCGTATGACCAAAGCCGATGACTGCGGGCCAGGGCGGGTCTGTGTTTAGGTAAAACAGAATGGAAAACACGTAGTCGTTTTCTCAAAAGCAAATTTTTGTGCTTTTTAATTCGGCATGTGAATGTTGCACCAGAGAAACCATTTGAAGGTTTTTAGTGCCTTGTTTTCATGACATTTTTCCTGAGTCCTCACTATTAAGTTTTTATCTTGTGTTTTCCATTACTGTCGTAAAATTTTTGAGGAGCTTTTACTTATAAACAATACATAGAGCTTCTATCTGTGCTTCAAACTAACTGTAATAAATCTCTTTTCCAGCATCCAAATGAGTTTCCAAGTAGGCTTGTGTCCTGATGTGGAAACTTAAAAAAAATATAGCAAGAATCTTAATTTATATATTTAAAAAGCTAAATGCCAATATAAATAATGTTGTCACTGGTGAGGCATTGAAAGGTAATTAAAGTAAAACTTTTTTGTTTCCTATATGTATTTTTCTTGGATCTCCTGCAAGACAATTTTCACCTTCCCTTTGTGATCAGAGCCGTCCCAGGACTTCAGGGGCCTCCTACCTCCAGAGTTTATTAAGCGTTCCCCCCGATCCCACCTCCACAGAATCATTTCTTCTGAAGGGCCCCCCTTCCATGAGGGAACTCATCCAAGGGCACCGGCTCAACAAGGAAAAAAGGTTAACCGTGGCTCCACCAGGTAAACACTTTTTCCTTGGGTGCATGCGACACAAACGACTAGTTGAAAGGCGACTCCCCTTCCTTCCAGCCAGGCAGACCTGCCATCTGCAGAGTCCACTCCAGCTGTGACAGTGAAGACCCCTGTGTGTAGCTTCCCGTTTCCTCCTTGCCTGTGGCCAGCCAGACTTCCTTAGAAGCCTCCAGGGCCTCCTTCCAGCAGCCCAGGATGGAAAATTCCAGTAGGAAGGCATGGGGTGAGGAAGTCAGCGACAAGTGCAGTGCAGGACACGCGCCTAGACCCTATAGGCCATCTGGTAGCTCCTGGTGATTGCAGCAGGTCAGATTTTGTTCCCCTGTTACCATTTTTAATGTAATTCCAGCAAAGAGAGCCATATTTGTCATAAGCCTTTGGGGCTGATTTCCTTTTGTAGTGACTCAGAAGGTCTCCTCTGCCATTTGTACGCAAAATAAAAGTGAACTCCTTGAAGGTTTTGCTCCTCAGGAACATTGAGGTCTAAGTGTAAAGGTTCTTACAGTTTGCAAGCCCTCCTTGACTTACGTGATCAGCATGTTCACAGTGTACTTTAGCATCACTGCTGTACATTTTCTCTTTTTAACATTTCCCGTGAAGAGCGCTCAGTAAAAAAGGCCTCTGGTGAATGACAAATACAGAAAGTGTGACTGGTAATAAATAAAGATCATCCGTTTGCAGAATCGCTCTGTGCCTTCAGAATAAGTTACAGGTGGCAAACAGGAAGTCCACACATGAGATAAGGCCGAGAACAGGCAGTATTTGACGATTACAGGGAATAAGAAATTAAAACTAACTCAAGTTAGTGGTGAGCGGTTACAGAGTCAGGGTGTGTATATTTCTGGCCTCTTGTTAAACGCTGGGTATTTAGCAGCTCTAGTTCTGTGGTCAGGCCTGTCAGCAACCCCTGAGCGAGGCAGCGGCCGCTGCTGACAGACGGCGAGCTTGCGCTCTGCCACAGCGCCATCGCTTGCACCTGGCCTCTTGTACTCGTGTTTGTTACCTTCTGGCTTCTGCTCTAGCCTTTGAGTTCGCTACCTTTGCCATAGTGTTTTGTGTTGGTTTTGTTGTTTACTTTGATTTTACTTCCTACTTAATTTACCTCAATTTTACCTTAATTCCTTTTTGGAAACCTCAGCCTTTGGATCTCTAGTACTCTTCTTCCTCATATAATCAGCCAGCAGATTGGGATGAAAAGCTGTTATGTAATCATGTATGGCACGTGTTCACCACGCTAAGAATGTCAGAGGAAATGGGAGGTAGTGAGTTGGAATGGCATGGTAGCCCAAGTGCATGTGCACCCATCACTTCGTTGGACATTTCTACTTTCATCACACATTTCCTACTGTTTTAGACCCCTTGCGAGGTACCCTGAGTTCTTCTGTGACTCACCAAAGTGGTGATTATTCATCAGAGCACCTCACTCGGGTGAAACCCACAGAGATCTTTTCTCGTGTTCCAAATGGATTGAGGAGCACTGCCTGCTAGTCCTTGGAAAAGTCACGGTGTGGTTAATAAATAACTCCTATTGTATTTACATTTTCAAGGTGACATATCAATAAGATTAAAATTAATAAATATTAATCATAACTATTTTCATCTTTGTATGACTGTTTGGTCCTTGTATACATGAACGTGTGTCTGACATCATCATCATCACAGTGTAAAAGCCATTAATTACTATTCCATCATAAACTCTGCCATGTTGCTAGTCATTTTTCTTTTTAAGGTTGTATCTTAAATTTTATTTCAGATGTTGTTGTTGCATGATTCACTCCTTCCCCTCCTGTTGGCTGAGATAGTTTTCCATGGACTGTTACACTATAGAACGGTGCTGATTGGAATATCCTTACACGTTCAACTTCTCATCGACGCAGATTTTTCTCAAGACTGAGGTCACGATTTAGAGGTCGAACATCTTTATGATTTTTGCTCCATTTTGATGTTGCTGTCAAAAGGTTGTAACAGTGTACTGACTGTGCACAAAACACTTGCCCTGTATTTGTATTCTACCGTGTTAATCTCTTCAACCCTAAGGACAGTTAGTGTACGTGAAGGAAAGTATCATTACATTGTCTAAAAATATCATCAGCCTTAGAAATGATTGCCATATATAAAAGATAAGAAATACACATAATAGAATTTAGAATCATCAGTAGGACAAAAAATAACATTAACAACATCAGCATATTGGTAAATGTTATATTTCTAACCATTTGCTTGAGGCTAAAGTAACAAAAGAGGACAGGAAATAAAGCTGTAATAGCTTGAGAATTTTTCATTTATATATCATAAATTCAGTGAGATTAATCCTTCATAAATTCTTATCAGGTCAACCCAAAGCATTTGCTAAAAGACCCTGGTTAAATGAATTACTATGGAAATTGATTAATCACCTACACTAACTTGTAGCTTCTGAAAATATCTGCATGCTTGACAACATACTATTTTTCTGTGGCTAAACCATATTAGGTATGATATATTAAACATTATTTATGATGCTTTTGCTATATAAAATGTTTTTACTAAACAGAAAAAAGGAAAATGCCATATATATGACCAGATAGAAGTACATTAAACCTATGAGAAACAATAGACCTTATGAGTTTTTTTTAATTCATGAGTTTAATATAAATTATTGATTAGTATAAAATTTGCTGGCTGGTAACAGTATACATTAGTCATTTTATTTTACTTATTTATTTTTTTTCCGGTGCCAGGAATTGAACTCATGACCTCACACTTGCCAGGCAGGCGCTGTGCCGCTGAGCTAAATCCCCAGCCCCACATTAGTCATTTTAAAGGACAGTTTCCTGTTAATTCTTCAGATGCTTTTGATGAGTGTTGTTTTATAAAATACATATTTAATATATATGTTAGACTGTTTTACTCATTTTAGTAAGCAGATAGTGGGCATTACTTTATGAGGATCATTGAAGTAATTATAGCAATAAAAATGAAATTTGCTTAATTTGTTCTTGAAGACATAGACCATAAAATGTTTGCAGACCATAAAATGTTTTTACCCTTTACAAGACATACTTTTAAATAGGCTTCATTTCTACGAGTTTGGTCAGCAGAAAACCCTGTCTTCTTTTTTTATTTATTTATTTTTTTAATTTTTATTTTATTTTTTATTTT